CTACAACACTTGGCGACGACGATTCGAAACTCATATGGAGAAAAAAAAAATTCGTTCGCCATATACAATACTTGGCGACGAATGTATTCGGATTCATACGGAGGAAGAAAAATTTTCGTTCACCATACAACACTTGACCACGGGGATACGAACTCATACGGTGAAAGAAAAAAAATTCGCTCGCAACATCATTTAGTGACAAAATTCGTACTCATACGGAGGAAAAAGAAGAAAAAAAAACTTCCTCGTCAAAATTTTCGGCGACAACATCTCGGATTCACATTAAAAAAACAAACAAAAAAAAACAAACAAACAACAAGACGTCAACTTAGTGACGAAAAAATCAGTCGTATTCTCAACTGAGAAAAGAATTTTTTTTCTCGATAAGACAGTTTGTTCAAATAGGTCACGAATTGCAAATTCGTTTTGGACCCCCCTCTACAATATTTAAGCATTGTGTAAACTTTTTGCGAAGATGGAGGAATGCAAAAATATATTCCAGGAATTTTTAAAGTTCCAGACGGAACAACAGATGACAATATTAGAGCAAGAGAAATCATTCCAGATGCAACCACAGGAGGAAACTTTTAATAGACAGATGCAGTTTCAACGAGAAATGGAACAGAGGCATAAGGAATTTCAAAACAAAATTTTGGAAATAACTGAGAAGAGGAAAGAGAAAAATCTACAAAATGATTCTTTCCCAGAGAATACAATATGGAATTCAATTGAAATATTCACGTACAGTCCAGATGAAGAGATAACGTTTGAAGAGTATTATAAAAAATATACGGACGTGTATAACGAGGACTGTCATTCGTGGTCTGAAGGAAAGAAGGTTAGGCTTCTTTTAAGCAAGTTAGGAATGCTGAGCATAACAAATTGGTAAACTACATTTTACCGAAAAAAACTAGCGAGTTGACATTTACCGAGGCGGTAAATATATTAAGTGAATTATTTAGTAAAAAGACATCTTTGTTTCACAAGAGGTGGAAATGTTTGAATCTGATGAAAGATGACGAACAAGACTATATAACGTACGCAACCAATGTGAATAAGCATTGTGAAGAATTCAAACTAGCAGAGTTAAGCGCTGACAACTTTAAGTGCTTAGTGTTTGTTCAAGGGCTGGTATCGGAAAGAGACGCAGAGTTGAGAAAATTAGTACTGATAAAATTGGAAAACCAACCAAGGATTACGATACAGAGTTTGGCAGAAGACTGCACAAGATATGTTAGCGTAAAGAAAGATTCGAAAAAGATAGAAGAGTCTGGCGTTTCGTATGTAAGGAAAATACGCTACAAAAAAGAAAGTCAGTCTACCAAAAAGAATTCTAAAATTGCGGATTATCAAACAAAAAGTGAAATACCAGAGAAAAATAAAAAAAAACTCCCGAAGCCATGTTTTGCTTGCGGTGAACTTCACTGGTACAGATATTGCAATTTTAGGAATAAAAAATGTTTCAACTGTAAAAGAGTGAGGCATAAAAGCTCGCACTGCAGGTCAAAAAATAAAGACAATAAAATAAGAAAATTAAAGTCCGACGAGCTGAACGATGGAATAACCAGAAAATTTGTTACCGTCGAAATAAGTAATAAAAAAATAAAAATGCAACTCGACACTGGTTCCGACATATCTATCATAAATTTGCATACGTGGAAGAAGTTGGGGAAACTAATTTTAATGAAAACAAATAAAATCGCGAGGTCAGTGACGGGAGAAAAAATACAATTTATTGGCGAATTTGTTACAAACATCACGTTAAAAAAAAACGCGAAAATCTAAACTATTTGTCATAAAAAATACCACGAACTTATTTGGTACGAATTGGATAACAGAATTTCAATTATGGGATCTACCGATAAATTCTTTCTGTTACAAGGTAGATTTTTTTAAACTACGAAGCCCAAAAATTAATAAGGAAACTTAAGGAAAATTTTCCTACTGTTTTTTCTCCAGGTTTGGGAACGTGTACCAAGATGGAGACAAAATTACAGCCAAAAGAAAACGCTCAGGCAGTATTCAAAAAGAAAAGGAATCTGCTGTTTGCTTCAATTGAACAGATAGATAAAGAATTGGACAGATTAGAGAAAACCGGTGTATTTAAAAAAGTTGAATGGGTAACACTGACAATATACGTGAAAAACAAGCTCCAGAAAGTAAAGATGAAGCCAACACCAAGAAAAAACTGGGGAGCGAGTTACCCGCAACCAAGGAGATGCAGTATTATTAAATGATTTAAGTCAACTGAAGTCACTACAGAAAACGTTAAGCACAAGATCAACAAAAGGAAAGCTAATGGCTGAACAAATAGAACCACAAGAAGAACCTACAGAAACTGTGACTACATCTTTAAGAAGCTCAAAGCGGAAGATTGTTTCTGGTAACACTATGGAAGTATAAAAAAAATAGAAAAGCGGATGGCAATATGATGTACTTGGCGAAAGGCGAAAAATTCACGTGCAGAAGGCACATTAACCAGATCAGACGACGTGCTTCAGATATGGTTGACAGCGGTCCTGCGGAAGAAACGCCGATGATTTCGATACGTTTGATCTAACAACGCCTGCAACGAAACCCGACCGATTTAGCATCAATTGGAGTTTCTACATCTGAGTTATCAGCGCACGGCAGAGAGAAAGGGAAATTCTAGTGTATTATTTTTACGAATGTAAACAAACGCCAGCCAGCGTGCTCGATACAGTGGTTTTGTAAGCACAGCTTAGATTTGGCACAAGGCCGAAAGTATGGGGCACCCAGTGAAGATCAAACTCACCACTCAGTCGTAAATGATCTAGCAAGACAAGCTTTCTAACCATTACACCACATCGAGGTGCCTTAGTGCTCGATATATATATATATATATATATATATAGTTTTAAGGTATGCTATATGTATAGGTAAAAGTGCTTGATATCAGAAATAGAGCATATATAAATATAAAATATAAAAGTGGACACTGATGTCAGCACCAATTGGCAACAGTCTGTTTCGTACTTACTTGAGTTTGGACTGAAGATTGCGTTCAAGCGCGAAACAGACTGTCGCCACTTGTTGTTGACCTCAGTGTCCAGTTTTAGCAAACCAGATTGCCACCAGACAACATATTAATAAGCAGAAAAGTAACATTAGACAGCTACTCACAAACAATACCTAAATCCTGGTAAAATCAAATATTAAAAACAGAAAAACATACATATGATCATTGAAGCAATGCTCGTACAACAAAAACAACCATCTATAAATAAAACAATTATGATTTAAGAGCCCGCATCCTCAAATGTATACAAAAAAGAATAAATAAAAGACATACAGGTCACACCTTGCCACGCCCCAATATCTATCTATTTGTCTCTACTCTCTGACTTAAGAATGTTGAAAACTTGAACCA